TGGATATCATGGCGGGGGCCATGATATTTCCCCAGATGGTATGCCGCCTCTTCTTGTTTCATTACGTCCCTGGCCCCCCCGCTGGGCCGCGCACATGCCGCCGGTCATGATTTGCACCCCCCCCCTCTTGGACACCCCCCTCTTGGCCGCTCCCGAACATCATCGGGGGCCCCCAAACGGGGTGGTGACCACACCGTGCGGTGAGTCGGTGGGGACTCGGGGTCACCGCACGGCTTTGGGACTCGGGTCGTTTTCCGAGGACGTCTCGGGCGACAGGGGGCTCCAGGGTCCCAAGACCGTGCGGTGACGGACCGTGCGGTGAGGTCTTGGGGGATTTCGAGGTCACCGCACGGTCTGTCACCGCACCGCTTCGGGACTCGAAACATCAGTCTTCGTGGACTCCAGATTTCGTGCAGGGTGATAGAAAACAATCTGGACTGGACCCTAGGGCGTTCTCGTGGAGCGTCTGCCTTCGTAGCTGGCGTGCGCACCTGGACCTGGACTGCGGCTCAAGGTAGCGCTTCGAGTGAAGTCCGCTCTCGCGGCCGCCCCCGGAGGAGGCCCGAGCCGAGAGGAAAGGGAGCCGAGGGGTGCAGCAGCCCCTGGAGGGGGGCCCAGACCCCCGACGTAATGTTTTTTTCATGACGTCGACCCCCCGAGGTCCCGACCCTTTCCCCATGACCGGCTTTGCATCCTGAGTCGTTTTTTGACGCTCCCGAGGCCCGGTGAGGGCCCCCGGAGGCCGAAAATTAGGAAAAACCTCCCGTCGTGATTTTTTCATTACTCGAGGGGGTCTGGGGGGCCCGAGCGAGCTCGAAGCGGGGGAGCGCGAGCCCCTGGAGGGGGCCCGAGCCAAGGGAGAGGGCGCCAGGGCTCACGACGGGGCTCGACCGGTCGGAGCGCGGGGGCTCATGCGGCCCCGCCTCGGAGGAGCTCGGCGAGGTGAGCCGCGCGCTCTGGCCGCTGCTCATGAGCGCGGCGCAGGCGCGGGAGGGAAGAGGAGTATGGTCGGAGCGAGGTACAAGGAGGAGGGAACAAGAGTGCAGTCGGGAGGAGGAGGAGGAGGAGGAGGAGGAGGAGGAGGAGGAGGAGGAGGAGGAGGAGGGGGAGGAGGGGGAGGGAGGAGGAGGAGGAGGGGGGGGGGGGGGGATAGGAGGCGGCAGGAGGCGGAGAGAGGATAGGAAGCGAGTAGGAGTATTAGGAGGGAAGGAGGATGAGGGAGGAGAGGAGGAGTTTGAGGAGGGAGAGGAGGAGCAGGCGCGGCGGAGGGTGCGAGGAGGAGGAGGAGGAGGAGGACGAGGAGCAGGCGGAGGCGGAGGAGGAGGAAGAGGAGGCGAAGGAGGCGGTGCAGGTGGAGGGGGTGGATGAGGAGAAGCGGGAAGACGACGAGAATGAGAAGGGCAGAGGATGAGGGGCAGTATGAGGATGATGGTAGGCACATATGGGGTCATGAGAGCGATGACGAGTAGGAGGAGGAGGAGGAGGAGGAGGAGGAGAAGGAGGAGGAGAAGGAGGAGGAGGAATTCTTCAGATCGTTGGGTGTGGTCCTCCCACGTCTCGTCGGCTCGATGCCGGAATGTTGCCCTGGCGTCGCTCCTGTTCCCCCGCCGTGGCCGCTTCCGCCAACGCGCTTCCCCTCTAGCACGCCCGTGCGGCGTCCTCGTGCACGTGGACTTCCTGGCTCCCCCTGGCGATCCAGACTTCTCCGTGGAGCGCCTGCACGCCCGCCCTCGTTTTCCTCGACTACGCGACCGTGGTCTTCGAGTACGCCGGCCTCCCGCTCGTCGCCACTTTGGCGTTGCACGTGGTCCTGGTGTTCTTCCGGGTCCTCTTCGCCTCTTGAGTAGCTGCGCAGGTCGCACCTGCGCGCTCGTGGCTTAATTTAGACCGTTCAGCTTGGCTGGTGCGACTATCTGACGGCGTTCGGCTCTTCCGATGCGTTCGCGGCCAAAAAAAGTACAGTCGGACCGAGGTATGAGATCGAGGTCGGTTCGGGGGGGTACCCTAGTGTTCTTCGCGCTTGTGGGATTATTTCGTGCAGCCTGGAGATGGGCACCCTTAGATACTCTTTCGGTTTTGGCCGACGGGTCGTGTCGCGACCAAACGATGCGGAAATGCCCGGAGGGTCCGCAGCTTCGTCCCGCCGTTCTTCGCCTCGGTCCTTGGCGCGGAGGGTTATGGCATGCGCAAAGCCCTCGCGCCGCGCATCCCTGGCACCGTGGTCGTTTGGAGTCCTGGGGCGGCAGCCCGCGGAACATGCGCCACGTTGTGCTTGTTGCCGGGGCATGTTGATGTTCATGGACTGCGAAGGCCTTGCGGCAGGCGCCGCCGATCCTGAAGGGAGGGGGACGACGACGATAACGGCGGCATGGCGGCGGCGGCTACGACGGGGCGTTTCTTGGGATCTCTCCGGAAGGTTCTCGGAGGCCTCTGGGGGTGAATTTTGGGGCCTCTTGGGAGCCTCTTGGCGGTTTCTTGGGAGCCTCTTGGGGCCTGTTCGGGCTTCCTGGGGACCTCTTGTAGGCCTCTTGGGCCCTCTTGGGGGCCTCGTCGGGCCTCCTTTGAGCTTCTCGGGGCCGAGGGCTCGAAATGACCCTTCGGGTCCCCCGTTTGGACACGCATTGGGGGCCGTTTTCGGAGCCTCTTGGGCCGTTTTGGCGGCGTTGTGGGGTGTTTTGGGGTCCTCGTGGGCTGTGTGGGGGCACTCTTGGAGGCCTCTTGGGCCGTCTTGGGGCGATCTTGGGAGCGGGCCTTTTTGGCCGGCTTGGAGAGGCGGGGAGTGGAAAAGGCGAGAACGCCCAAACCTTGATTTTAAAAAACAAAGGGAAATCACTGAATTGTGCCTCGTGGGGCCCTTCTCGGAAACGCTCTTGGAAGGGAAGTTTTCGCAGTCGCCTAAAAAGTCTGGAGGGCATGAAGGCGCTTTGGACCGATAGTTTGGCGATTGGGGTCCCTCTTGGACCGTTTCGGGGGCATCTTGGGGCATTCTTGGCCTGTCTTGGTACTTTCGGAAGCCCCGGGGCCCCCACGGGAGATGCGCACTTGTCCCCCCCCTGGGACCCCCTAGGACCTCCCCACCTACCCCCTGCTTACCCGTCCCAGAACCCCCACCCTCCCCGACGGGGGAGGGATCGAAAGGAAGGGGCTTCCCTTCGACTCGATTACGACATGGCTAGATTCTTCTTTCGCTGACAGGCTTGAGGAGGAGGGTGCAGGGAAAGGGGACGACGGAGAGGACGACTGACGGAGACGACGACTCGAACAGACAAACCCCTCACACACTCCGACAGGGTCGGCGGATTTTCTCTTCCCGTGTGCCCCCGTATCCATTCTGGCTCAAACCATTTTGGTTGAAGGCACGGTAGCCCAAGTGAAGCGCCCCGACCAGAGGGGCATGTTGGCGACTCCGATCATGTCCTCGTCAGCGTTGGGCTGATGTGGGATTCCCCTGCCGCGATGGCCACAGCCAGCGCCGAGGCGGCCCAGGCCACCGACCCGGAGGGCGCTGCGCCGCAGATGATGGCGCGGGCGCAGGCCGCAGCAGGCGAGCGGCAGGGTTGCCTGCCGCCCGCCAGGCCCAGTGTTCCCCCGTCGGGACGCTGAGTGCAGGTGTGGGTGCCTGACGGCTAGGCCGTGTGGCTCGGTCCCGGTGTCGCGGGCTGCCCTGCCGCCCCCATCCATGTGGCAGGCGCTGGAGGCGGACGCGATGGTCCAGATCACGACGATTTCGAACATCGTGAACCACATGACGAAGCAGCTGGTGTCCCAGCCGCCAGCCGAGCGACGGAGCCCAGCGCAGCCTTTCCCGCCGCCGGCGAGGGATTCAGCGCTCTCGCTGGCGTGGCAACGCAGAGAGAGCGGAGGCGACGTCAGGCTGCGGCGGCGCCGCGCAGCGGCCGACCACGGCCCCCGAGCCGCTAGATGGTGGCAGCCTGCCGCATCTGCCGCCGGTGCCTGACTTCCCGAAGCTCGCCGCGATGGCCAAGGGAGCTTCTCCTAGCGACGGAGTTGGGGCACATGACGCTGATGCGGGCATGGTGCCCAGCACGGCCTTTGGCCCTAGCGCCGCGGGCGTCAACGAAGTCATCTTCGGCACGCAGACGCCCTAGCCAAGCTCATCGACGGCATGCCCTGTTTCTCGCGTGCCGCAGATGAGTTTGACATGGAGTGCGGCAGTGAACCGCTGATCGTGGAGGTAACCGACGCTGCGAAGGCAGCGGACCTGAAAAGGTTCGCGGTAGGGACCCTCCGCCAGGCGCAGATCGACGCTGATCACTCCAGTTTCTTTCGGCGCAGTCGGATCCGTCGGCGCTTCGGCCGTCAAGGCTGCCAAGAAGGCGCCCCTTGTCATCATGCTTGCCAGATTGGCGCCTGACGATCTCCCTTTGCGCTCAGTCCGCGTGACGTGAGATCATTTTGTATAGAACCAGCTTCTCGAACACGTTTTGATTTGGATGTCGTGCGTTTGAGGCGCTTCGCCTTGGCACATGACTCCGAGCTGTAGTGGAAGGGGATTATATGCGCTTCCCCTGTATAGTTTTGCCCAGATTACAATGATGCCTGCTTCTGCCTTAGGGGCCGACTCGATGTGCGAATGCATGCAGTTGCAGACGTGTGGATGTTTCGCCGTGCATGTTGCGCGCATACTATAATCTCATCGTTCACCCCGGCGCACCAGCGCCGTTATGACACTTCCGGAGGTTTTGACTTTGTCGCAGCAGTGGTCTGTACTCCTGCACGGCGGCGCGCTGGCTTTTACGACGCCTTGCAATGGGCTTGCATGACGTCTACGCTGTCTGTGTAGTGCTCCCCCCTGGCGGCAATCGCAATCCATTAAGGTGGATGGCCACCTTCTGCCTTTCAGTGAGAATTTGTATTGTCAATCTTGAGACGCCTCGCGCAACCCTGGAACAACAAAATCTCGCGTGCCCGCAGAGAGAAGGGCCCCATGGGACAAACGCGGACGACTTGGACTTCCTGTGAAGGGCGCCGCGGGGGACGGAGGGGACGACATAGCCAGCCCCTCTGTACCCCGGACTCCTGAGCTGGCCCCCCCTATCGTTGCCCCTCCCTTGTTTTCGTCCCGCAGCCGGTACCCCTCCTACACCCATCAAACACGGTAAGAAAAAGTAGCACTGCTCATGGACTCCAGATTTCGCTCAAGATAATCAAGAATATGCACCGAACCTTGGGCGCGTTCTTGGAGCTTCTCTTTTTCGTTGAATGTCCGTACACCTGGACCTTGACTACCGTTTGAAACAGTTATTGGAGTGAACCTCGTTCTCTTAGCTCAAACTCGTCGTAACTCTTAAGCCACCCTGGGCTGGCTCATCGTGCCCACCTCTTTCCGTCCGGGAGCCGCCCCCCCTCATGCGCGCTGCCTTGCCCCCCCTATGGCAGGCGGAGGCGTCCGCGCATGGCGGCGCCGCCGGCCTCCAGGGAGCGCTGGCCCGCTCGGCGCGCGGGCTGCGCTCGTGGCGCTCCCGGCTGGAGGCTGGCCGCCTCTGGGAGGACAAGGAGCCGTGCGCCTCATGTTCCTCCTCGTGCTCCTTCTTTCTCCTGGTTCCTTCCTCCACGCTCCTCCATCATCCCTCCGCTTCCTTCCCCTCCTCCCCCTCCTCCCCTCCTGCCCTCCTCCCACTTCTCCTCCCCCTCGCCGTCGTCGGCATCGTCGTCGTCGATGTTGCCGTCCTCCTGCTCCACGTTCCTCCTCCTCCTTTTCCTCCTCCTCCTCCTCCTCCTCTTCCTCCCTCTTCCTCATGCTTCTTCCCTCCTCCTCCTACCTCCTCCTCCTCTCTCCTCGTCCTCCTCCTCCTCCTCCCTCATCCTCCTCATCTCCTCCTCCTCCTCCCTCCTCCCCCTGGTCCTCACCTCCTCCTCCCCTGGTCCTCACCTCCTCCCTCCTCTTCTCCTCTTCTCCTCCCATTCTCCTCTCCTCTTCCTCCTCTCTCCTTCCTCCTCCTCCTACCTCCATCCTCTTCCTCCTCCTACTACTCCTCCTCCTCCTCCTTCCCCATCTTCTCTTTCATCCTCCTGCTTTTCCTTCTTGTCCTCCTCCTCCTCCTCCTCTTCCTCCTTCTCCTCCTTGTCCTCCCCTGCTCCTCTCCTTCCTCCCCCTCCTCCCTCATCATCCTCCCCTCGTCCACCTCTTCCTCCTCGTCTTCCTCCTCCTCCCTCCTGTCCTCCTCCTCCTTCTCCACCTCCTCACCTCCCCTCTCCTCCCCCTCCTCCTCCCCTCCCCATCATCTCTCCTCCTCATCCTTCCTCATCCATCATCATCATCCCATCATTCATCATCACATCATCAGCATCAGCATCATCATCATCCATCATCATCAATCATCATCATCATCATCATCATCATCATCATCATCATCCCCCCTCCTCCTCCTCGTTCTCGTCCTCATCCTCCTCCTCCTCCTCCTCCTCCTCCTCCTCCTCCTTCCCCTCCTCCAGTCCTGGCCCTTATGAATAACGCCTTCCCGTCGCACCCCGAGGCCAGTCGGAGGGGCGGGACATGCGTTTCGCTTGAGACTTACCCAACATGTATGATCCTGAAGCTTAGGATGTGCAACAGCTTCACGGATGGAGGGCAGGTCGCGTTCAACATGTGGTTCCCGCCGTAATGCCGCGGACATCCGTCTTTAATGTTTGTATGAGTTTCACGGATTGATGGCGGGTGGCTTTCAACATGTGGTTTTAGCACCGCGCACATCCGTCTTAGAAAGTTGCAAGACTTTCACGGACTGAGGGCAGGTCGTTTTCAAAATGTGGTTTTCGCTTCAGCGCCGCGCACATTCCTCCTAAGAATTTGCAAGAGCTTCACGAACGGAGGGCGGGCCGTTTTCAAAATGTGCTTCTCGCCTCAGCGCCGCGCACATCCGTCTTAAGATTGGCAAGAGTTTCACTGATAGAGGGCGGATCCTGTTCAATTTGTGGTGTCCAAAGCCGGCTAGCGAAGCAGCATGAATTTTTGGAAAGTCCTTCGACGAAGCATTGGAAGCTGCGGAAAGAAGCTTCTCGAAAGCTTCCAGGTACGCGCAGTGGGGAACTCTTAGAAAAGACCCGCCGGGACACGCGACAGGTTCTCTGGAGTTTTTCAGAGGTGTCCTGCCGGAAAGTGAAACGAGCCTCGGGGCTAACTTGCGGCGCCGGCTTCTAATATGAAGCTTAGCTCTCGGAGAGCTATCTGGGAAAATGTAGCTCTCGCCTTATGACGCCGCGCACACTCGGTCTAAGTTTTTCAATAGTTTCAAGGATTCTCATGGCGAACGTCCCAGAGGTTGTGTTTTGGTACGATGTCGGACTGTCAGGGCGCAACAGTTACGTTGATTCGTGGCGCTGAAGTCCCAGACTTTACGTTCTGGCACAATTCAGGATCGTCAAGACGCAACAGTAACGGTGTTTCGCGGCGTTGAAGTCCCAGGAATAGTGTTCTGGCACAGTTGAGGATTTCGCACGGCTGCTTTCCAACGGGGCATTTCTTTAAGTGAAAAAAATATTCGCAGGGGCCCGCGACGAGGGAGTTTGAAGGGAGGGTTTACTGCAGCATCGTTGATGAGTCTGGGGTTTGCACTGGTCCCCCTTCCTCCTCCTCCTCCTCCTCCTCCTCCTCCTCCTCCTCCTCCTCCTCCTCCTCCTCCTCCTCCTCCCCCCACGCCGCAAACATAGCAAATTATCCTGGCGAAGGACCCAACCATATGCAGTTGTGGGTACCGCAATTGTGCATATCTTCTTCGGTGAAGCTCCCTATGGGGCCACGATGCGCTGCACTGGGTGGGGGTGTGCCTAACCATATGCACTTGTGAGTGCCGTCGTTGCGAGTACCGCCTTCTGTGGAGCTCCGTACGGGGCCTCGAAGCGTGTGAAGGGTGTGGCTGGGGCGGCGGTGCCATGCGAACCCTCCCGCGGGGGACTCAGGTGGAGCTCCCTATGGCGCCACGAAGCGTGTGAGGGGTGTGCCGAAATGGGGCGGCAGTGCCATGCGAACACTCCCGCTGGGGCCTTCGGTGGAGCTCCCTATGAGACCACGAAGCGTGTGAGGGGTGTGCCGAAATTGGGCGGCGGTGCCATGCGAACCCTTCCGCTGGGGCCTTTGGTGGAGCTCCCTACGGGGCCACGAAACGTGTGAGGGGTGTGCCGAAATTCGGGAGGCGGTGCCATGCAAACCCTCTCGCTAAGGCCTTAGGTGGAGCTCCCTATGGGGCCACGAAACGTGTGAGTGGTGTGCCGCAAAGGGTGTGCGTGACGCATGCGGGCTGCGCCACTGGGGCGGTCGGTGGAGCCCCCTACGGGGCCACGAAACGTGTGAGGGGTGTGGCGCAATGGGTGTGCGTGACGCATGCGGGCTGCGCCACTGGGGCGGTCGGTGGAGCTCCCTACGGGGCCACGAAACGTGTGAGGGGTGTTCCGAAGTGGGTGTGCGTGACGGATGCGGGCTGCGCCACTGTGACCTTCAGTGGAGCTCCCTATGGGGCAACGAAACGTGTGAGGGGTTTGCCGCAATGGGTGTGCGTGACGCATGCGAGCTGCGCCACTAGGACCTTCGGCGGAGCTCCCTTCGGGTCCACGAAACGTGTGAGGGGTGTGCCTTAATGGGTGTGCGTGACGCATACGGGCTGAGCCACTAGGACCTTCTGTGGAGCCCCCATACGGGACCACGAAGCGTGTGAGGGGTGTGCCGACATGGGTGTGCGTGACGCATGCGGGCTGCGGCACTGGGACCTTCGGCGGATCTCCCTTTGGGGCCACGAAACGTGTGAGGGGTGTTCCGACATGGGTGCGCATGACGCATGCGGGCTGTGCCACTGTGGCCTTCGGTGGAGCTCCCTTTGGGGCCACGATCATCGTGAGGGGTGCACCGACGATGATGAGGAGGAAGAGGAGGAGGATAATACTGAAGGTAATGATGATGGCGGCGATAGCGACGATGATGACGATGGTGGTGATGATGACGATGATGATGATGACGATGAGGATGATGATGATTACGATATCGATGATGATGATGATGATGATGATGATGATGATGGTGATGATGATGATGATGATGATGCCGATGATGATGATGATGATGATGATGATGATGATGATGATGATGATGATGATGATGATGATGATGTGATGGTGATGGTGATGGTGATGGTGATGATGATGATGAGGAGGAGGAGGAGGAGGACGACGACGACAGACAACGACGGCGACGACGCGCTGCGGATGCCCTATGGGGGGGGGCTGCGTGGTGGTGGTGGTGGTGGTGATGATGATGATGAGATGAGGAGGAGGAGGAGGAGGAGGAGGAGGAGGAGGAGGAGGAGGAGGAGGATGATGTGAAGAGGAGGGAGGGGGAGGAGGGGAGGCGTGTCTTCAAAACGAGGACCGAACACCACAGGATGGTTTGGAAACAACGAGTCCCCGACACAAACCGAACCCATCGTTTCTCTGATCGAGGGCCGATGTTCGTCGTGAGGTCGGCGGGAGGCACGAGGGGAGCCGGAGGTCGGCATGAGGTTTGCGAGGTCTTCGGCGGTGTTCGTAGGTTTTCGGCTGTTTTCCAACCCCGGGGTGCTTTCCGGCCGCTGCGCCTCGCCGAGAGCGTTCCGGGGTGCCCGGGTCGCCCCGACCTGGCACCAGGGGCCCAAGCCTTGATCCGAAAGCCCTGGGCTTTCGGATCAAAGTTTGGGCCCTCCTCCTCCTCCTCCTCCTCCTCCTCCTCCTCCTCCGCCTCCGCCTCCTCGCGATCCGTCTGGCCCCTGTGGGCCGCCAGGCATAGCAGAAAACCGAACCCCCGACACAAACTGAATCCATAGTTTCTCTGATCCAGGTCCTCCTCCTCGGGGTGAGGAGCAATCTGCGCATAAGGAGGAGGAGGAGGAGGAGGAGGAGGAGGAGGAGGAGGAGGAGGACGAGGAGGAGGAGGGGGAGGAGGGGGAGGAGGGGAGAGGAGAGGAGGAGGAAGAGGAGGAGGAGCAGGAGGAGGAGGAGGAGGAGGAGGAGGAGACGAGGAGGAGGAGGGGGAGGAGGAGGAGGAGGAGGACGACACGAGGCTTCAGTCCTGGCGTTTCTTCTCGGTTTCGGGCCCTGGGGCCCTTTCTGCCGGGCCCGGGGCCATCAGAGGTGGTTTGGCGGGAGGAGGAGGAGGAGGAGGAGGAGAGGAGGAGGAGAGGAGGAGGGGAGGAGGAGGAGGAGGAGGAAGGAGAGCAGAGAGGAGGGAGGAGGAGGAGGAGGAGGAGGAGGAGGGAGGCGGAGGAGGAGGAGGAGGAGAGGAGGAGGAGGAGGGAGGAGGAAGAGGAGGAGGAGGAGGAGGAGGTGAGGAGAGGAGGAGAGAGGAGGAGGAGGAGGAGGAGGAGGAGGAGAGGAGGAGGAGGAGGAGGAGGAGGGAGGCGGAGGAGGAGGAGGAGGAGGAGGAGGAGGAGGAGGAGGAAGGGGGAGGAGGACCATCAGAGGTGGTTTGGCGAGGCCTCCCGTGCGGTGCTGCCGCTCGGAGCGGCTCCCCGGCGCCAGACTGCGTTTTCCAGGAGGGGGCTCGCCTTCGGCGCGCGCCTCCGCCCTCGGCGGGAGGCGGCGGCAGCAAAACGGGAGCGGCTCCCCCCAGGACTCATTTCCTTGGCATCGCTCGGACGTGTGCATTTTTCCTTCGGCGAGGACCATCGAGGAGCATCCTTGATCATTTGGCGAAAAAGCCACGCACGAACCCGAAAAAATCACAGGAGATGGACGTCCGAGCGATGGCCAGATTTCGATTCATCCGATTCGATTCGATTCGATCTCGATGGATTCCGCTTCCGACTCGATGCGACTTCGGATCTCCGACGAGTGATCCGGTGACTCAACAGGGGGGCCTACTGGCCTGCCGATGTCGGCCGGTTCGACTCTTGCCGACTCGGCTGCCGACTTTCCTCCGATTCGGTTCACTTCGATCGCCGGTCCGACTTATCGATTCGATTCTGGGCTCTCCTGTCCCCGAAGGGGAATCCGGCGAGAGATGGCGGAGGTAGAGGAAGTTCGGGACGATCGAGATGGGCACGGAAAGAACGGGTACAATGCCCAACAGCAGTTCCTGTTCTTTTTGAGCAGGATTCGCTGTCCGCGCCGCCGCGGGCGCTGCTCTTTGGAGACGAAGAGCCGCCCGCCCAACCGCGGCCGCTGTCGGTTCTGGACAACATATGTGCTGTTCGGCATTGTACACATGTTTTCCGCATTCATTTCGGGCATCCCAAAAAGTGTGACGTCAACATGTCTGGATCCAAGTTCCCAAAGTCGCTCAAGAAATCCCGGCTCCCCAGCGACATTCTGGCCCGGCTGGATCGGCGTCAGTTGTTCCGGATTGCGAATGGCCGGGAACAAATAGCTGTGAACGCGGCCCGAAGAGTCAAGGACTGGATACTTGACGGGCGCATAGCCCGCGAACGCCCATTGGCGAGATGGATTGGCCAAGTTCTGGTGCCCTCTTTAGGCACGCAGCCGCACTTTCGCACGATTCGTACTGAGCGCTCAGCACCCCTCTCGTTCTCCCAAAGTGGCCGATTGAACTGTGGCCTCAATCACAGAGCCTCACTCAAAAGGACACCCGCAGAGGGCAATCATCAAAAGCCCCCCCAAACGGGTGGACGTTCGAAAACGAAGCGAGCGGGTATCGAGGCTCTGGATGACAGTGTTGGAGAGCACAAGAGACAGTGAGAGCAGCCGCTTTCAGGATGACTAATTCGCGGCTCCGACGCGCATCGGCGACCCTCCGCGGTGGCCTTTTGTGCTGCACGCGCCGCAGTTGGCGGCCTTGAGGTGTGGCTTGTCCACGTGCAGGAGTCAACGCAACGGCAGCTGTCCTCTGGTCAAGCGAATATGACGGCGCCATCGCACGCACGCACACACACACACACATACATATACACGCACACACACATACATACATACATACATACATACATACATACATACATACATACATACATACATACATACGCACGTACACACTTACACACACACACCCACACACCCACACCCCCACACCCCCACAACCCCACACCCCCACACCCCCACACCCCCACGCCCCCACAACCCCACACCCCCACACCCCCACAACCCCACACCCCCACACCCCCACACCCCCACACCCCCACACCCCACACCCCCACACCCCCACCACACACACACACGCCCACATGCACACACGCACACACGCACACACACACGCACGCACACACGCACACACGCACACATGCACACACGCACACACGCACACACACACACACACACTCGCACACTCGCACACTCACACACACACACACACACACACACACACGCACACACGCACACACGCACACCGCACACTCGCACACTCACACACACACACGCACGCACGCACGCACGCACGCACGCACGTACGCACACACACACAAACACAAACACAAACACACTCACACACACACACTCACACTCACACACACACACACACACACACACACACACACACACGCGCGCGCGCGCACGCGCACGCGCACGCGCACGCGCACGCGCACGCGCACACAGACACACACACACACACACAGACACACACACACACAGACACACACACAGACAGACACACACACAGAAACACACACACAGACACACACACACAGACACACACAGACACACACACACACACACGCACACACACACAGACACATGTTTGGCGTCGCAGCCCCGCGCGCAACGACAGGGCGTAGCAAGGTCGGAGAGGCGGGCGCGCGCGCGTCTAAAGGCCGAGCCCTCAAGCCGCTTCGAACAAGCAACGCCGGCAGCCTGCTAGGCGACACACACACACACACACACGCACACACACGCATACACACACACACACACACACACGCATACACGCACACACACACACACACACACTTTGGCGATCGCGACCTCGCGCGCAGCGTCGAGGCGCAGAAAGGTCGGATCCGGTGCGCGCGAGGCCGGCCCACACACACACAAGCTAACGAGCACACACATAACCACAATGAACTACACACGCACGCGCTTCTTCCTCTTTGCTCGCCGATGAATCGCAGTCGGCGGATCGGTCAGTATGTACAAAGGTAGGCTACGCTCAACGTAAAGTGGACACCTTGTGCGGGAGCGAAGCACACACACACACACACGCACACACACGCACCATGCAAAACGCGCCGCGCGACAGGGTAAGCCCGATGCCCCCCTCATGCTGTATGTTATGTGTACGCGTTTCTCGCATTGTGGCCCATGCGTGCGCGTGTACTGCGTGCGCGTGTCCAAGTTTTGACTTACGGCGGGGGAGGCAAAATTCTCAGACGCGCCGACAGACGATTGCTGCGTCGATGTCTGCCGTGTCTCGTCTGCCTGCCTCGGAGGAGGGCGCGGACTGGCCGGCGGACCCAACGCTCAGGGCGCAGTGGACTGACTTGCTCAGGGACCTGGAGATGCCGCGGTTCACCAGGCGCTACCCGCAGCTGCTGGACCCCCTGATGGCGAGCCTGCTCGAGACGGTGGAGCAATTCCACAACGAGACCCAGGAGCAGCAGGAGCAGGAGCAGGGCGAGCAGGGCGCCCAGCGAGACCAGGGAGGCGGCGAGGAGCAAGGCGACGGCGAGGAGCGGGGCGACGGCCAGGAGCAGCGCGACGGCGAGCAGACGGACGGGGAGGGCGACGGCGAGGGGAAGGGCGACGACCCTTCCGAGCAGGATGCCGCCGGCGCGGAGGGGGCGCAGGTCGGGCGACGTCAACCGACCACCTCGGCGATCCTGGCAGGGCCCATGTTGGGCCCAGCATCGGTGCCTCCCCCTCCCTGGCCAAGCCGGGAGGGCCTGCACAGCCGGAGGTGGTCCACTGACGTCGCCAGAGCAGGGCGACGCGGCCCGGGCGGGGAAGCTGATGGAGAAGCTGCGGGAGCAGTGGGGAGGTGCCAGCGAGGCGCTCCGCGAGGCGGAGCAGTCCCTGGGCGCGGCCGGAGGGAATGCGGCCGCCGACGGCTTCGGTCTGGAGGGCGGCTCCCCTTGGCAGGAGACGGAGGCCTGGAAGCAGATGGGGGAGCTGCGGGACGTGCTGAGCAGGAGCCCGGACATCCGCGCCCTGATCCGCGACCTGGGCCGCCGCAGTGCCGTGAAGGGGCCCCTGCGGCGGCTCCCCGAGGAGCTGGACCAGCGCGGCGCGCCCATGGGGGTGGTCCGCTCGAGCGCGGCGCCAGCGGAGGCGAACGGCGTCCGCCTGGGCGGCGATTGGGACACGATGCTGCCCAGCGAGATGCAGCTGCTGGCGGCGAAGCGGCCCATGCTGCGGATGCTGCACCACGCGCGCCGCGCCGAGCAGGCGCTCCTGAGCTACGACAGGACCGCCTGGCTCGAGGAGGAGGCGCGGGCGACGCGCCGGTCCGAGCTCAGGCCGCTGGGAAAGGCGGGGCCACTGATCGTGTGCCTCGACACCAGCGGGAGCATGAGCGGCCCTCGCGAGGTGCTCGCCAAGGCTATGGTCTTGGAGAGCATACGGCAGGCGCACCGCCAGAAGCGCCGGTGCTACCTCTACGCCTTCTCCGGCAGGGACCAGCTGGAGGAGTTCGAACTCGACCTTTCCAGCGAAGGCCTCCAGAAACTCCTGGGCTTCTTGAAATTCAGCTTCTCGGGCGGCACATCTCTGGACGAGGCGCTGGAAGCCAGCGCGCGGCGCCTGGGAGCGGACAAGGAGGAGTGGCGAAACGCCGACCTGCTCATCGTGACCGACGGGGAGTTGCCGCCTCCTGCAGAGCAGGTGCGGCACGGCTTGGATGCTGCCTGCGCGGCGGGCGGCGCCAAGGTGGTGGGCGTCGTCCTTGGGGACAGCGCTGGGGAAACGATGGAGGGACTGTGCACGGAGCTGTACGTGACGGGGAGGCCAGAGCCTATGTTCGCCGCCGCACGGGGCGGGCCGCGGCCGGGCCAGCGAAGCCCAGGCGGCTGGCCGCGGCTGCGAAGGCTGGCCGCGCGGCCGGTCGCGAGGGCGGCCGTCGCGGGCTGGGGGCGGGCGCTGAGCCGCGACAGCGCGGTGGGCCGCCTGGGTGCGGGCGGCACGCTTGCTGGCTCCGCAGGGCGCTCGCGGACACGGGCTGCAGCGGCCCCGGTCGCTCGCGCAGCCGCGGGGCAGCGGGCGGAGTCCCAGGTGGAGCCAGACTTCTCCAGGTTCAGCGACGAGCTCATCCTGGTGATCCAGCTGGCCGATGGCGAGCGCCGCCGCCTGGGGCAGCAGGCCATGGGGACGGAAACTCTGCTGCTGGGCCTGCTCTCCACTGAGCAAGCCGCGCCGGTGGTGTCCGCGGCCTTCCCAGACGCCGGCAGGGCATCGGTGGAGAGCGCCCGCAAATTTGTCGAGCAGCGCATCCTGCTGGATAGCCAGGGCAACGCACTGACCCCGAAAGCCTCGGGGGCGCTGACTTTCACTCCCATGGCAAGGAGGGCGCTGGCCGACGCGGATGGCGCGCGGCGCGAGCTGGGGCACGAGCGAGTGTTGCCCGCCCACCTCCTCCTGGGCATGCTGCGGGACGAGCGCAGCCTGGCCTACGACATGGTGGGCAGCCTGGAGGCGGACGTGGACGCCGTGGGCATGCGGGGGCTCAGCACGTTGCCCGGACCGGTGCCCGCGGTGCGCGTGCGCGCCGCGGCGCAGTTGTCCGATCTGCGTCTCCGCCAGACCGCGGGCGCGAGACGGCCGCCCGACGAGGACGAGGCGGCCCTTGCGCTGTCTGCTCGGCTCGGCAGGGCGCACGAGCTGCTCACGGACGGGCTCGTGGAGCGCTCTGTCGAGGCGAAGTTGCTGCTGCTTGCCGCCCTGAGCGGGGAGCACGTGTTCTTCCTGGGGCCGCCTGGCACGGCGAAGAGCTTGCTGGCGCGGAGGCTCTCATGTCCCAATGTTGCCCAGAAGCTGGTTAGCCCGAGAATGAGTGCAGAGGAAGTGTTTACCAGCGTGAAGCCCAAACAGTGAGTGTGTGCAGTGCGCAGTCTGAGTGTGTACACTGTGTGGTATCTTGTACACTTGATGCTGGAAATTCTGAAGTCGCCAACTCCAATGATCGGGCAAGCATCCCACCCATCCACCCATCCGCAGCTGGTTGGCAAAGCTCAACTGGCGCAGTCACGCGAGAACACTTTCCGTGCAGGTCCTTGACCCGGGCAGGCAGGTAGTGATGGTGGCAATATCGGCGACGGCAGCGACGGCGACAACGATGGTAATGATGATAATGATGATATTGATGATGATGATGATGATGATGATGATGACGATGACGATGACGATGACGATGACGATGATGATGATGATGATGGTAGTGGTGATGACGATGTTGATGTTGTTGATGATGATGTTCATGATGATGATGATGGTGATGATGGTGGTGGTGATGGTGATGATGGTGATGGCGATGGCGATGGTGATGGTGTGATGGTAATGGCGATGGTTATGGTAGTGATGATGCTGATGACGATGATTATGACGATGTTGGTGATGATGGTGATGATGGTGATGATCATCATCATGATCATGATGACCATGCTGGTCATGATGATCATGCTGGTGATGCTGATGATGATGTTGATGACGATGGTGGCGATGATGGTGATGGTGATGATGATGCTGATGCTGATGCTGATGCTGATGCTGATGATGATGATGATGATGATGATGATGATGATGATGATGGCGATGGAGAGGGCGACGACGACAACGACGAGGATGACGGCCGTTGTGGTGATGACGACAGCGTTGGTGGTGATTCCCCAATCAGTGCTTGCACTAAAGGGGTCCGAGCGGATATTGAAGGATTTGGCGAAAGTTCCGCGCCGATTTCGGTGGGCGGCCAGGTTCCCAGGTTCCCAGGTTCCAGTTGAGGGTTCGGGGCCAATTTCGGTGGGCGGCGGGGTTCCCGGGTTCCCGGGTTCCTGGTCGATCTTCTTATCGATCGGTCTCACCATCGATCTCATTACCCACTTCCCTATCGATCTCACTATCGATCTCACAATCGATGTCATTATCGATCTCACAATCGATCTCACTATAGATCGCATGAGCGATCTCACGAGCGATCTCACGATCGATCTCACTATCGACCTCATTGAATCGACTTCACGATCGGTCTCACGATCGACCTTACAATAGTCCTCATTATCTATCGATTACACGATCGATCTCACAATCGATCTCAATATCCAGATCACTAATTTTCATACCATCTACTGACTGGGATTTTTTTCTGATGCAATGAATATTATCGTGTTGATGACGGTGGCAGTGATGACGCTGGCAGTGTTGATGACGATGGTGCTCATGAAGATGATGCGCAGGCGCCCACGCAGAATACCCGACGTGTTTCCCTTGGGCTCTCAGAGGCGCTGAGCGCATCGATCGCGGAAGTGCTCAGGAACCCCGTGGTGTTACAATGATCTCGACGTGCGCTCGCGGAGACCCGCGCGACTGGTTTTTTATCTAGAATTTGACGGGGGGGGGGCGGGCGCGCGATGGCTGTGGCGTGTTGCCGACGTGCGCGAGCGTGTGGCCCGCAGGATCTCGCCTGACAGAATGGCAGCATCGAGCGATGGCTTCCTCATGGCTCCAGCGGGCGCCCGCGCAGACGTCCGGCAACCGATCACTGCAAGTCAACGACAAGGCTTCTGATAGCTGTTGGAGAGATATGCCTCGTAATGATTCGAAGTCCACTGGAGGTGAAAGGATGTTGACATGTGCCCGCAGGGGGCGCGTGCATTTGGCCGGCTTAGGTGCTTATGGACAGGGAGTGTTACAGATCGCACTTGTAGAACCAATGCATTTGCACCGCATTTGTTGCAGGAGATGGCGCGGGGGGGCAATACCGGCTCGGCTGAGATGATACACGTATAGGGTGAACGATCGCGTATACCAGATATGGAAGCACACTGCCACGAGGGGGGGCGATAACCCCAGCCTCGAGGTAGGGGTAGAGTCCAACTTTGGCCAAGAGAAGGATTCGGGCTGGCGCAAGTTGTGTGGCGCGAGTTCTCTGGTGCAACCGATGTGGTGCCATGCATGTTGTGCGGTAGGCGTGGTGCAGCATACGTGGCGACGGCGCACGCGGGCAGCCACCGGACGAGCACCGAGGCCGCCAGGCCCACTCTGTGCCACGAGGTGCCCACGAGGCCCCCACGGGCGGCTACGGACGGCGACCAGGCGAAGAACAGGGACCGCGTGTCAGCGACCACGGCGCCGATGGGCGGCCACCAACCTAGAAAGAAAAACTGAAAAACACCTGGACGGAGCAGAAGGAGTCCCATGGGCGGCGGACCCCGTGGGGAAGTGAGGAGAAGCGGGCCTTCTCAGAAGGCTCGGAGGTCCCCTGGCCTTCTGAGAAGTGTTCTAAGCATTCCCCGAAGACGCAAGCAACTTCTCAGAAGACGCGAGGGCTTCTGAGAAGTCCCGTCGCCTTCTGAGAAGGCCTTCTTCTTCTCACTTCCCCCCCTCGCTCGCCGCCGATCCCAAAGCCAAGCATTGCTCGGGGAGTTGTATCAATGATATGTTGGTGTGGCCGGTAAATTCTCTGTTGGTCTGACATTGAGACAACTGTCCTATGAAGTCAGCTCCCTTGCAAAACTGTTTCTCAAAGGCTCGCCCTCGTCTGCGAGGGGAACTTTTTCGAGCGGCTGCTCACCCGCTTTTCGGTGCCGGAGGAGGTCTTCGGTCCGCTCTCCCTCAAGGCACTTGAGCAGGACGAGCTCAGAAGGAAGACGCAAGGCTTCCTGCCCGAGGCCGACGTGGCCTTCCTGGACGAGGTGTTCAAGGCCAACTCATCCATACTCAACGCGCTGCTGACCCTGCTGAACGAGCGACTCTTTGACAACGGTGGATCGCGCGTCAGAGTGCCGCTCTGGTGCGCCGTGGCCGCTTCCAACGAGCTGCCAGAGGGCGAGGAGCTGGACGCGCTCTTCGACCGTTTCCTGCTGAGGAGGGTCGTCCCCCGCGTCTCGGACGATGCCGTCGTGGACTTCTTGGAGACGATGTTGGACGTCGCCGGCCCCGAGGACGAGCAGTCGCCCGCGGCGCCGCCCACGCACACGCGGGGCGGCTCCGTGCTGACGGCGGCCGACTCGGAGGCGGCGCAGGAGGCCGCGGCCGCCGCCGTTGCCTTCCCCGATAGGATGCTGCAGACGATCGCCCGGCTGCGGGTGCACCTGCGGGACGTCGTGGAGCCGCCAGTCTTGGTGTCGGACCGGCGCCTGGCCAAGGCGGTGCGCGTCCTACGCCTCGCGGCCTACGCCGCGGGCGGGACGGAGGTCTGCGAACTGGACCTGCTCTTGCTGCAGCACATATTGTGGGACAAGGACCCGGCGCAGGCGGAGGCCGTCCGGGAGTGGCTCTTCGAGCACAGCTTCGGGGCTGCAAGTCCGCAGCAGGGCGGCGACGACTTCTTGCCGCAGGCCCGCTTTCTCCTCAAGGCCATCAAGGAGCGGCTCGCGCGCGCCTCGAAGCCCGAGACGGCCTCGGCGGCACTCCAGGACCTCGCCAACCTGCGGGTCCCCGTCGAGAAGGTGGTGTGCAGGCGCCTCGAAGAGCAGGTCGCGCTGAGGGCGCTGCTCTCCACCGAGGGAGGCGGCGGGTTCGCTGGCAGGCGGGGCTTCTGGCTGGAGGCCGCGGATCTTGAGGAGGCCTCCAGCAGGCTCCCTCGCATCCGCCAACCCCCCTCCATCCTCACACGAGCGGGCCCCCGACAGGACAGAGCTTAGGGTTCAGGGCTTCGGGCTCAGAGAGCTTAGAACTCAGAGCTTAGGGCGTAAGGCGTAGGGCTTAGGGCTCAGAGCCCAGGGCTGAGGGCTCAGGGGTTAGGCCTCAGAGTTTTGGGCTCCGGGCTGAGGGCTTAGGGCTGAGGGTTCTGAGCTTGGGGTTAGGTGCGCAAGGGGGGAGGGGGGAGGGGGGGCAGCCGACAGAGAAGGTCGCAGATCTCGTGCGCTGAGCTCTGCCTACGTACGAGGCGATCCAGAGAGCGCCCCGCCCTCGAGGCGTCGGGGGGTTGGCATCTCTTCCTCTCGGCGGCCGGCGGCGGAAGTACAGTCGGGGCCCTGAAGAAGGAACCCTTTTCGTTTGGAAGGGGCTCCGCGTTCCTTAAGTGTTTCGCAGCTTGCCTCGGGTTTTCCTTATGTCTTCGATGGGAAATCGAAGGTTAACCTATGGAAAAAGAGGGGCCTCGTTCCTTATCTAGGGTTCCTTGGGTCAAGACCCCGACTGTACGGAGCGCTTCCCTAAGAGACGTTGCGACGCTCTTGGGACCAGCTGAGTTGGCCGCGTGGTCCTGGCGACTGTCCCCAGGTGAGGCTTCGCCTAAGGTTGCGCAGGAGGTTCAGGGGCAGAAGGGGGTCTAGCTCCTCCTCCTCCTCCTCCTCCTCCTCCTCCTCCTCCTCCTCCTCCTCCCCCTCCTCCTCCCCCTCCTCCTCCCCCTCCTCCTCCCCCCCCTCCTCCTCCTCCTCCTCCTCCTCCTCCTCCTCCTCCTCGCTGGGCGCGCCGTGAGGGTGCCCCGGTTCCGGCTCTTGGGGGGACGCTCGCCCCGTTCCCCGGGGATCCCTTTCCTCCCCTTTGCAGGCAACGCAGCCCGATGCAAACGCAGCGCGGGGGGGTGCATCACAAAACGGAGAGCAGCACAATCCAAGGCCCCGCAATGCGAAAGCAATGCGAGGCAGAGCAGTGCAAAACCATAGGAGACAGAGCGAGGCAGAGGAAAAGCGTGGGGGGGTGCATTACAAAACGGAGAGCAGCACAATCCAAGGCCACGCAATGCAAAGCAATGCGAGGCAAAGCAGTGCAAAACAATAGGAGACAGAGCGAGGCAGAGGAGGGCACTGCACCGAACGCCACTGCACTGCAGATGCGCTCCATGCAACGCACAGGGCAACGCGCCGCACCCCAAGAGGTCTCAACCCCTTCCACGGGGCGGACCCCTTGTCCGAAGGATTGCAAAACAAGGATTGCACGAAGGATTGCAAAAAAACAAGGATTGCAAAACAACGAAGGATTGCAATCCTTCGTTTTTGCAATCCTTCGTTCAAGAATCGTTGAGCTCTCGTGCTTCTGCAGCCTCTTCCAACACATCTGACTGTGTCGCATCTCTCGACAAGTTTCGGCTCCTGAGGGGATCGCTACGCGCTCTCGACTGGGAGCTCTGGGATCCAGAGAGGGTGGGTCCTACATCGTCTGTCGTCGTCAGCAGTCATGCCGCGAGCAGCACATAGTCGACGGAGCGCTGCGTCGTCATTCTCCAGGTTTGGTTTGGGCCTTCCAATGCTGTTTTCAGCACTGTGTACCACTGTTCCGTCGTTCGCTCTGTGCATCCCAGAGTCGCTGTTGGTGTCCCTCCCGCCGCTACACCTCAGGCGATGATGAAGAAAACTTGAGTTTTCGGCCAGAGTCTCGATTATTCTTAACGTTTCAATGTAAATCTTAAGATTGTAATGGAAACGTTGGGTTTTTATTCAAGTTCTGAGACTATGGATTTCTTAACCCATGATGTCTTAAGCATTTCGCAGGGTGTACAGTGGTCCTGCTCCCCAGCTACAAGCTGCGGGAAGGCGTGGTCGTTCCTCCGCTTCCTGTTTCTTGCGCGCAGAGGGCGCGGCGCGAAGAGGGCGGCCTTCAAGGGAGGAAGGCGCACCGCCTCCTCGTCCTCCTCCTCCTCCTCCTCCTCCTCCTCCTCCTCCTCCCCCTCCCCCTCCTCGTCCTCCTCCTCCTCCTCGTCCTCCTCCTCCACCTCCTCCTCCTCCTCGCGCCCTTGTCTCATTCAGGAGCCCTTGGGGAAAGGGCCCGTTCTTCTGAACAGCCCCCTGCCTTTCACTCTCGTGCCACCCCCCTCGCGCACGCTGCCAACGACCCTTCCCCACCGTTCCCCCCCACACCACGGAAGATGCAGCAAGCTCACGCCAAGCGCCAGAGAGGCCCCAGCGCAAAGGAGGAGGGAAGAGGTGGGGGGAGCTGGCGGGGGGAAGCAGGCCACGATCCACTGTTGCCACTCATGTCCGTATCTTTGGCCCTCCCCAGCGTGGCACGCAGCGCATTCCCTTCCCTCCCTCCCCTCTGATCCCATCCGCCCTTCCCATCGCCTCCTCCTCCTCCTCCTCCTCATCCTCCTCCTCTCCCTCCTCCTCCTCCTCCTCCTCCTCCTCCTCCTCCTCCGCCTCCTCCGGCAGCCGAAGGCCGCAGGCCGCCGAAGGCCGCCAAGGGCCGTCGAGGGCCCTCGAAGGCTGCCCGGCCGCCCCTGCGCAGGCTCCTGCCGCGCGCGGCGGGGGCGGTCGCGGACGCGGAGGGCGTGCTGCGGGAGGTCCTGGAGCTCGAGGGCGCCCTCTCCCTCCCGGACCCCGAGGAGCCCCTGGGCGGCGCCCCACGGAGGCCGACCCAGGCCCAGACCCTCCCCCCACGTTCTTCAGGAGGGGAAGAAACACAAAGACACAATGAATCGTCGATTTTCAAGAAATATGGGAAAATATGGGAAGTGGGGGGGAAGACAGAAACCCTGAAAACATGGGAGAATATGGGGAATCCTTTTATTTGTGTGTGTGTATTTATTTGCGTTCTGGAAAGACAGGACGAAGGTTGTTCGTAGTCCTGGGCCTCCGAGGGCCTTGGCCAGGCCCAAGCACCTTCAAAACATACAGTCAAAAACCCAAATAATAAGGACGCGCGATTTTGCTGAGGGTACCCTTGCGTCCTTGCTCTTCCTTGCTCTTGCGTCCTTGAGGTTTTCGTCGTCCGCCGCCCCAAAAATCCCAACATCGGCTTCCAAGGGTCTTGCGTCCTTACCGCGCGTCCTTATTAGGGACGAAACGATGGCCCTGAGGAACGAAACGATGGCCCTGAGGAAAGGGTCGGGACTTGCAGGGACCCCCGCCCGGGAAAAAAACACGACATCGGATGTCTGGCGGTCGGTACGGCCTGGGCTGAGGACAAATCGACCCAGGGCGGCCAGGAACGCACTCAGGGCGTTCCGGGACGCTCTGAAACGGCCGCGGCGCCCGACACATTTTCCAGACCCGCCGGCTTGAACCCTCAGCCGAGTTTCTCCTCATCATGCCTTCGTCTTACCAGGGAGGAGGAGAAGGAGAGAGAGAGAGAGAGTGAGAGGGAGAGAGAGTGAGAGAGTGAGAGAGAGAGAGTGAGAGTGAAAGAGAGTGAGAGACAGAGAGATTGAGGGAGAGACCCACTGGCTCTCATTGCAGCGACTCGATGGGATATCCTGTGACATCCGGCCAGTCTTTCTGCCGTGGGTTTGAGTCTGAAGCTCTTGGGATGCCTGAGGGGATCTTTAGAGGTTTTTCTCGAGAGCTTCTGGAGGTATGATTGGTATTATTAAAAGTAGTACCATATCATATTATGTTATATTATATTGTATCATAGTAGATTACATTATCTTGTTATCAGTATGGTTACTATGATTGTGGGGGCAGGGTCTTGGAGGGCTCTTTGTCGTCCCTAGGCGTGGCTCCTGGGGAGGAAGATTCTGCGCAGGCTGCTTCCTTGTCGCCATGGCTGGATTCGAGGTCTCGTCGCGACTGGCCGATTTGCTTCCGTCCGAGTCCGAGGCGGGATTTTTGGTAGGTGGATCTCTCAGGCTCTCCGCCGCCTCTGGCGGCGTGCGTTGCGAGCAGGAACACAGCAAAGCCACAGGAAAGCGCGGAATTGACAGTGTAGCTCCGCACACGTGACACATGTTAACGAGCAGGAGCACAGCGAAGCCCCGCCAGAGGCGGCGGAGAGCTTGAGAGATCCACCCACCACAAGTGTCGGCAGTCGCTCCCGAGGGGGCCGTCGCGCCTGCCCTGGCGGCCCGAGGGCTTGGCGAGTGGGGCGCAGGGTCGCTGGCTTCTGTGGGTACCCGCTGGAAGCTCTTGAGGGCCCCTGCACGCCCCACGGTGGCTGATGCTTCATCAGTGGACAAACCACCCGGACAGGATAATTGGCGTTTACCCAACGGCCTTCGGCGTTTACTAAACAGCCCTGCCCTGTTTGATTCCTTGTTAGGGCGCGTTTACTAAACGACTTCGCGTGTCGGGGTGATCATTCTGGTGGGGGGATTGTCTGCCCTCCAGATGTTGACTGACGGCGAGGGCCAGGAGAGCGCTTGGCAGGACGACGCCTCGTCTGCGGGCCGTGGGCTCTTGGCTGGCATCACCGCCTTCCCCACCCTCCCTCGCTGGTGGGCCTGGTGCGTCGGCCAGCGGGGTCCCGAGGTCACGGCAGGGGTCTCTCGAGCGCCCCTGGCCGGCCGCACCGAGCGCCTCGCCCAATTGCCCGTGCGGGCGCACTGGACCACCCCAGGGGGGAGGCAGCCCACCGTACTCTTCGGGGGCTCTGGAGCCTCCTTCCCTCCACCTCGTCCTTCAGTCGGGAGGTTGGAGGAGGAGGAGGAGGAGGAGGGGGAGGAGGAGGAGGAGGAAGGGAAGGAGGAAGGGGAGGAGGAGGAGGAGGAGGAGGAGGAGGAGGAGGAGGAAGAGGAGGAGGAGGAGGAGGAGGAGGAGGAGGAGGGGGAGGGGGAGGGGGAGGGGAGGGGGGGGGGGGAGGAGGGGGGAGGGAGGAGGAGGAGGAGGAGGAGGAGGAGGAGGAGGAGGAGGAGGAGGAGGAGGAGGAGGAGGAGGAGGAGGAGGAGGAGGAGGGAGGGGGGGGGAGCCGGGCGGTGGTTGGAGTTCTCTCAGGGAGAGGCCAGGGGCTCTATGTGGGTTCGGGGGGGGGTCCAGGGCGCTGCTGCGGGGAGGCCGGGTGGTCTGCTGGGGCTCGCGGCAGGTTCGGGGAGCTTTCCAAGGGGCTCAAGGAGGAGGAAGGGGAGGAGGAGGAGGAGGAGGAGGAGGAGGAGGAGGAGGAGGAGGAGGAAGGGGAGGAGGAGGAGGAGGAGGAGGAGGAGGAGGAGGAGGAGGAGGAGGAGGAGGAGGAGGAGGAGGGAGGAGGAGGAGGAGGAGGAGGGGGGGGGGGGGGCGCTCCCGAGGGCCGGGAGGTTCCAGAGCGGAGGTTGCCATCGGGGGTCCACCATACTCTTCGGGGGCAAGGAGGGATAGGAAAACGCAAACGAGATCACGAGAGCGACAGAGAGACAGAGAGGGATACAGAGAGATACAGAAAGAGAGAGAGAGAGATATGCAGATGCAGAGATGGTCCCGAGGGCCGGGAGGTTCCAGAGCGGAGGCTGCAATTCGGGGGTCTGGGGTCTGGGGGTCTGGGGGAACTCTGACGGAGCGCAGAAGGCTAATTCTAGGGGGTGCGGGAGGATTCCAGGGAGAATGGAAGGCCAGGGGGGGAGGTTGGGCGAGGGGGTGGGATGGGAGGGGAGAGGGGGTGGGAGGTGGGGGAGAGCGAGGGAGAGGGGGTGGGAGGGGGTGGGAGACGGGGTGGGGGTGGGAGAGGGGGCGGGAGGGAGAGGGGGAGGGGGTAGAGCTCAAGCTAGGTGCGCTCGCGTCATATCTGACATCCTACCCCTCCCTCCCATCCCTTACCATGGCGTAGATCCCCTCTCTACTCGCACACTCGGATGTCGAGCAGGGCAATGATCCCGAAAGGGTACGCGATGCATTGTAGAGCACGGCATGGCATGGCGTAGAAGAGCACCGCAAAGCGTAGCATCAACCTAGCATTGCATTGCATGCCCGTGGCATGGCACGGGAAATGACGCCAGCGCTGCAGCGGGAGCACGAGTCGGAACGAGCGGAAGCGCGAAAATGAGGCCAGCGCTGCAGCGGGAGCACGATTCGGAACGAGCGGAAGCACGGAAATGAGGCCAGCGCTGCAGCGGGAGCACGATTCGGAACGAGCGGGGCCCGAAAATAAGGCCGGCGCCTCAGCGAGAGCAGCATTTTGGAAAAAAATGCAGGCGAAAACCCAACTCCGGGGAATCCTGCGTGTAAAAAACAGTACGCGGGGGGGGGCTAATAATTTCAAACCGTCATCAGGGGAAGAGGGAGAGTAGTATTCATATTGAGTAATTGTAGATCTGGGATGGGAGAGGGGGTGGGAGGTGGGGGAGAGCGAGGGAGGCAGGGAGGTAAGGAACGAGGGGAAAGGGCAGAGGAAGGTTTCGAACGCCCGCGTTCCCTGGCGCAGAGGAGCGGGATTCGTGCTTGCGGCACCTGCTCGGGGGCAAGGACGGAAAGAACATGCAGCGGGAGCAGAACCAGAAGCTGACCGGTATGTTCGACCAGGATGACTTCCCCTGAGGCCAGACGTGCAACCCCCTGATCCAGACCCCCACGCGTCGTGGGAACAAAAACGACGGAAGGATTCTGGCTGTCTTCGGCTTCCTAGGGCAATCGCCCGGCCCCAGGACCATCAAAAAACGACTCCGCGGGATGAAAAGCCAGTCCTGGGGATTGGGTCGCGACCTCTGGAGGTTACCGTTTTTTGTTTTGAAATGACAGAAATATATACAACACACACACACACAAACGACAAAAACCAAAACAACAAACAAAAAACAAACAAGAAAAACGAAAAACAGCAAAGCACGACGTCGAGGGTCTGGGGACTGGTCTGCACCACACGTTTCACTACCCACGGCCCTCCCCAGGCAGTCTCTCTTGGCTGCCAGCGGAGGGTCTGAGTGGACATCGGGTCTCTCTGCGCTGCTAAGGGAGGAGACGGCGAAACGTCCAAGCGCCCCTTCCCTGCCCTCCCTTGCCCCATTGTCCAAGTCCTCTCTTCCCCTGGTCCCCCTCTTGGCCTGGGCGCTCAGCCTCGTGTCGGGCCCCGCCCTCAATACAGCATTTCGCTGCGACCCTTCCCCTATTTGTCAGTCCTCCTTACCCAAAGAAGCAGATCTTCCATCCTCCCCGGCCGACCAAGGCCTCTGATGCCCCAGCTGCCTCGAGCTCCAGTGGCCCCTCGCTGCCCGTCGAAGGGCGCTCGTGGCGATCCCCGCGTTGAGCCCAGCTGTGCGAACTTCATGCGAAGCGGAGCCACACAGAGGAGGGGGGTCGGGTGGGTCCAGGACCAGGATACATCGCTCCAGAGCGCTCCAGAACGCTCTCAGAGCGTGCCGAACTGCTCTGGAACGGCCGAGGGGAAGGGAGGCAAGGGCAGGCGGAGTGAAGGGCGGCCTTCTCGGCTCGACGGCCGCGCCCAGACTCGCCGGCGGGCGGCCCGGGATCCCACTCTGGAGCGTGGGCCGACCTCCACGGGGGGGAGTCGGGGGATCGCGCTGCATCGCCGCTGCATCCGCGCTGCGGCTCGAGGTGGAGCCCGACTTTCCCCACGCCGGCGGCTCGCCGATGCCTCGCCGCCGCCGCCGCCGATGCGTCGGCGACGCATCGGAGATGCGGCGCGGTCCGCCGACCATTTGGAAGGCCTCCGCGATCGCCGAGAGCCCGTCACCCACCTTCCCTGCTCCTCCCCCTCCCCCTCCTCCCTTTTCCCATCCTCCCCTCCCCCTCCTCCCCTCCCCCTTCCTACTCTCTGGCTCGCTCGCCTGCTCGCTCCCCCTCCTCCCGCTGCCGGCGAGGGGGTCTGTCGGGCCGCCCTCGGGCCATCCTGGGGCTTTTGTCGAGGGCCCGTCGGGAGCCCGACGAGCGCCTGGCAGCGCTCGGACGCGTGCACTCTTCGCGGCCAGGGCCCTCGAGGAGCAGCGTCCTGGGCCCGCTCGCGGAGCAGGTGCGCACGGCACCGACAGGTGCACCAGGAGTGGACGTCCGAGCGAGGGCGAGGGGCGCGAGGGGGCGGGCGGAGGCCTCGAGGTCTCTCTCTCTCTCTCTCTCTCGCGCCGTGCCCTTGGCCCCTCGGGGGGGGAGGGGGGGGGGATCCCCCGGTGAGGCTCTCGGAGTCCACCACGGAGCCGTTGCGGCATGCCCTCCTGGGAGCACCCGTGGCGTGGCCTCGCTCGGACATGTGCACCTGTTCCCGGCCAGGAGCAGCGAGGAGCATTTTCGTTCACCTTGCCAGGGAAAATTGCAAAAAAACGAAGGATTGCAAAAAAACGAAGGATTGCAAAAAAACCCTTCATTTTTGCAATCCTTCGAACCGAAGGGTTTTTTTGCAATCCTTCATTGCAATCCGACGCACGAAGCCGAAATATGCACAGGGAATGGACGTCCGAGCGATGGCGAGGTGGGGAAGGGGGGGGCGGCCCGCCTTCGGGTGCCGAGCCAGAGGACCAGGGGGGCTGAGGCGGGGGTCTGGCTGCGGGTCCTTCGTCCTCCTCGGGCGCTTCCGCCACAAAAAGACTGTTCCTGGGCCTCCTGGGAGGGCGGCGGTGTATACATTACCATTGAGAGCCAGCGACTTGACACACACACCGCTACCCTCCCTGAAGGTACTTGCAGAATTTGCTGGAGGGTGTCTGTGTATATTTTCGTGACGTAGCGTTGCATAGTCACTGCCGCTCCCTTGTGGAAGACGCGGCCGCCCAGCTTCTGCACTGGGGCTGCGCCGAACGCCGCCCACGGCCGATGGGTGCGCAGCGGGTCGATGGTCGATCGCGTGTCCTCCCCGAGCGTGAGCCCACCTATGGGCCACCCCTGGGCTCGGCGGCAGGCGAGGCGGGAAGTGAGAAGGAGAAGGCCTTCTCAGAAGGCGGCAGGACTTCTCAGAAGCTCTCGCGCCTTCTGAGAGGTTGTCTGCGTCTTGGGGGAAGGCTTCGAAAATTCTTGACGCCGTCGTTGACTTTCCGACGTTTGGCGCCTCCGACACACTTGCAGCTTTGCACGCTGGCAGTTCCCCACAGTCTCAGTCCCCTCAGCCACCCAACTGAGGCCTCGGCCGCGCTTAGCCGTCGCCTCGTGCGTTGCTCTGCTCTATTTTTCCGCGTTTCCTCTGCCTAATTAGTCTCTGCGTAGCCCGCTTTGGCCTGACTCGCCGCTGGCGCGCTCGCCCGCGGCCGCTGACTAAAAAAAAATCCCCACCAGCGTTCCACTCGACGGCTCGCCGCTGAGGTGCTGCGTGGGGCTCCGGCCCACCGCTTTAGATGAATTCGTCTGTGCGCGCCCCGCTCTGACTGGACTCGCCGCTGGCGCGCTCGCCTGCGGCCGCTGACTAAAAAGTATCCCCACCAGCTGGCCCCTGGCAGCTGCAGCTTGCACCCCCTCACGCCGGCCCGCCCGCCGAGGCGCTGCTGAGGTCGCCGGCCCGTCGGCGTTAGGCAATTCGACTCTTGCGCGGCTCGCTCGGATCTGACGCGCCGCTGGCGCCCTCGCCTGCGGTTGCGACAAAAAGTATCCCCACCAGCGCCATCTCGGTGGTCTCGCTCCCTGGGGTGCCTGCACGCTTGCCCGTCACCTGGCAGCTCCCTGCAGCTCTTGCAGCCTCAGCCCTCGGCGCAGCCCAGCGCCCCCTGGCGGTAGCTCTGAGTTGCCCGTGCGTGCTTGGTCAAGTAAGTCTGCTCGTAGCCAGAGCTCTTTTGACGCCGCTGGCGCCTTCGCTTGCGGCTGCGACAAAAAAGTATCCCAACCAGCTCGCTCTTGTGCGAACTGTAGTCCGCTGCTCGTTAGCCACGTTTCTGACGGCGCCTGGCATTTTTGCGCGCTCGCGAACGAAAAAGTGTCCCCACCAGCTGGTCGCCTGAGCTTTGCACCGCACCGGTGGCATAGCCTGCCCCTGCTAGCCCGGCGTTCGACCCGTTTCGCGCGCCCGCGTACCAAAAAAAAATATCCCCACCAGCCCATCCGGAAATGATGTTCAGGCGAGTTGCCTCTCAGACTCTCCTCAGATGTCTCTCGGAATTTTGTTGGCGGCCTCTTCTTGGCGGTCCCGGGGGCCTCTTGGAGCGTCTTGGGTGCCTCGGGGAGCCTCTTGGCGCCCCTTGGGGGTCTGTTGGGAGCCTCTTGCAGGCCTCTTGGGCGTTTCCTGGGGCCTCCTGGGCGCCTCTTGGGGCCCTGTTGAAGCGCTTTGGGGAGCCTTGGGAGCGCTCTTGGGCCATTTTGGAATAGATCGATCAGAACAAGATGTGAGTTCCAAGTGTTTCCCCCCTCGGGAGCCCCCAAAATCGCCTCTTGGGCCCCTCTTGGGGCGCTCTTGGAGCGTTCCTGGGCGCTCTTGGGGCCGTTTAGGGGCTCTTTTGGGCTTCTCTTGGGGCCCTCAGGGGCCCTCTTGGAGCTGTCTGGAGGCTTCGGAAGGCCATCGGAAGCGAAAAGGCGAGAAGGCCAAACCCACTGATTTGCACGATGTGTTTAAGGATTCGGGCCTCTTGGCGGCCTCCTGGGGAGGCCCCGTGGCCATTCGGAGCAGTCTTGGAGTGGTCTTGGGGCCTCTTGGAGCATCTTGGGAGCCGTACTGAGCCATCTTGGGCTATTTTGAGCCACCTTGGAGATCATCTTGGGCTCCCTGAGGCCCTCCTGGAGCCATCTTGGGCCATTTTGGACGCTCCAACGCCTCGCGAAACCCCCCTCCAGGTCCAGGGGAGGGGGTAGGGGGAGGAGTCAAGACACCCTCTCTGCACGCAAGCTGTCTAGCTCACTCCCACCCGCCCTCCCACCACATAAGTGGCATCCGAGTCTCGGCATAGCCAGGGGTCGCCACAGGATGGACAGCCATTGGGAACCAAAGCGGACGCCAGGTGCGCGACGTTCGCCGCGGGCTCCACATGCGGTTGGTGTGCCATCCTTGTAAAAAACGCCATGGCCCCCCGTCCGCATGGTCCAGGTGCTGATGTGGGGGGCGTCAGCATTGTTTTGGGCCTGCGCACAGCAAGCATCATCATGCGGGCACCACCGCCGTCCCTGACAGCAAAAAAAAAACATACAAAGTGTTCGCGGGTGGCCAACACAATACCCACGGCGTTGTCGCAACGTGCACTTTGCATTGTTTTTGACACGGATGGTGGTCCTGCACAAAGCGGTTTCACTAAGGTTGCCCCGCCATCCCTGTCAAACAAAGCCACGTGTTCACAGGGCGCCAGCGCACTGTCCAGATTTTGCTGCAATGTGCACTTCGTATTGCTTTTTGAAAGGGACTGTGGAGGGTGTTGGCAGGGTTGGCCCCGCAATGTGCATTTTGTATTGTTTTCTGACAGGGATGGCGGGGTGGAGTGCCCGCATGGTTCTGGGTTGGCTGCCGGCCAGGTGGGGGAGGGGGTGTTCACTAATCGGGAACAATGATACCCCCCCCCCCCGAAGGGGAGGAGGGAGGATTTGGAAGACAAACCGCTGTAGACTTCCTACGCCCAGAGGGCTGCTGTGCCTTCTTGGAAGGCAGGGAGGAGGAGGAGGAGGAGGAGGAGGAGGAGGAGGAGGAGGAGGGAGGAGGAGGAGGGGGAGGAGGAGGAGGAGGAGGAGGAGGAGGAGGAGGAGGAGGAGGAGAGGAGGAGGAGGAGGGAGGAGGAGCCTTCCGAGCCGTCTGGGAAGGCCCGCCACATCCCCCTCCCTCGCTCGCCGCCCCCAGTCGTCAGGCCCGCCGCTCCTCACAGGCGAGCAGCGCGCGCGCGCCGCTCCCCAGGCCTCCTCCTCCTCCTCCTCCTCCTCCTCCTCCTCCTCCTCCTCCTCCCTCCTCCTCCTCCTCCCCTCTCCTCCTCTCCTCCTCCTCCTCCTCCTCCTCCTCCTCCTCCTCCTCCTCCTCCCCTCCTCCGACTCCTCTTCCCACCAGGGGCAGGCGGGCGCTCGGCCTGCCTGCCCGCCCGATTTTCCCCCTGCCGCGGTGCTGTGACCTCACCAGCCTCGAGCCTACCCCTATCCCTAAGATCGGCACGCCAAAAGGAGATCGGCACGCCAAAAG